AATGCCAAGCACCCATTAGAGCTGGGTGGACTCATAGAGGCCATAAAGATCCAGAAACTAGAAATCCCAGTCCTCACCAGGATTTGAGCTTGGGACCCATCAGTTTGATAGCCAAGTGCTTTACCACTAAGCCTTTGCCCCTGCTTCCATAAAGAATATGTACACAATATAATGTGTTCACAGTCATGTAAAATCTGAATGTTTTCACTAATATAGATATATGTTTGAAAATATAAACTATTTTAAGTTTTTACATCATTAAAAGAAAATAGTCAAAATTTTATTTTCTTGATTCTTGTGTACTTTTAGGACTGAGATGCCTTACACATTCCAACAATGGGTGTTTGGAACTATGCCAGGTTAGACGATGTTTAGTCCAAATATATTTTATATTTCTATTATAAGAAATATTATTGTTACCTCATGCTATTGTTATACTTATACTTTAAAATCATTGATTTAATTTTGATTGTTGATCTTTTAGATATTACAAATAATTTTAGATGTTTACCTGTTAAGTACTGTAATAAAGCATGTTTGTGTTAAATGTGTTTGTCTCCTATTTAGGTTTCACAGGAGTGCTCCTGGTTCTGATCTTGTGTGTGCTGTATGTGTTTGCAACTCAGACTGCAAGGCGTCATATTTTCAGCTTGTTCTGGATCACCCATAAACTCTTCATACTCCTCTATGTCCTGACCATCATCCATGGTGCCAGTGTGGTGGTCCAGAAGCCCATGTTCTTTGCTTACCTGACTGGTCCAGCTATCCTGTTCACCATTGACAAAATCATCTCCCTTAGTAGAAAGAAAACTGAACTCTGTGTCCTGAATGCCAAGAACTTGCCTTCAGGTAGCGTGACATTTTATTAGCTTAGACAATATCTGGGTTTTATAGAATCCCTCACTGCTTGATTTTATTAAACTGCATTAGGATACAAAAAAGTATTTACCTAAATTATTTATCCATGGTTGTTGCTTAAGTACATGATTTTTACTTATAAACAAAGTTTAAAAATCATTTGCAGTAATATTTGTTATACTGAACTTATTAAAAAGTTGTTTCATTAAAATAAGGTTGAAATAGAGTAGAGCTCATACAAAATGCATATTGTATGCCCAACAAAACTTGCAACTTTACCCAAATAAGATTGTTGATCTAGGTTGATTTTGTTCAATGCTCTGTGTAAAGATTAATACTGTATCTTTACATCAGACTGTCTGATCTCTTTTGTGTGTGTGTCTATATAAGTTGAGGATATAAACTTATTCACATCACATCAAAATGTGTAGCATATACTAACTAGGTAACTATATCATTTCTATTGCCAAATCAAAGTTTTGTGTCCTCAGAGTTCAACTATATTTTCTTAAACTTCTCTCTTATTGCTGCTGTTTTATGTTTTATGTCATGTGGTTTTCTCTTATATATGCTTTCACTGGTTATACTAATATCTTAAGTCCATTTTATATAGCATCTTCACAGGAGAAATATATTTGGAACTAGACAAAATCATTTAAATTAAAATGATTTTTCCAAACAGTGTCAAATTCAAATTTAGCTTAGATATATTTGTTAATAGATTAATACAACTTTATGAAACTCTAGTAGAATGTTAACTTATGAAAACAATTTGAAATGTATTTTTTTACCATAGATGTGACCATGCTAGAGTTTAAGAGACCTCCAAGGTTTGAATACAAGTCTGGTCAGTGGGTGAGAATAGCCTGCATCGCCCAGGGTAAAGATGAGTACCATCCATTTACATTGACCTCAGCCCCGCATGAAGACACTCTCAAGCTACATATCAGGGCTCTGGGCCCCTGGACCTGGAACTTGAGACACATCATTGAGTTGGAGAGCATGAAGAATATTAAATCTTATCCTAAAGTGAGTGTTGAGGGAAAAAATTTGATCAAGATGAAAGTATCCTAGCTATAGTACTGGGAGATCTGTGTGTTCTATTCCAGCTGCTTTCATTCAATATCCAAGCTATAGTACTGGAAGATCTTAGTGCTCTGTACCAGCTGCTTTCATTCAATATGTTAGTCTGTAAGCAAAACATTTAATTTCCACTCCTTGAAACTGTGCTAACATAATCTTCACTGGCTGATCATGACAAAATCAATTAATCCATGAACCAAGAGTACGCTATGATTTTTCTCATTGGTTTAATGTTTCACTTAATTATTTTTCCACTTGTACCAATGGAGGTTTGGTAAATGGAAAGAGAAGGATATCTGAATGTCAAGGGTGAAAAGTTAAAGAACTTTGCCAAATTGTGTAAAAGAGACTAGCTAAATACTCTCTGTAAATGAATGTATTATTTAACTCAGTCACTTCTAATGTTTTCTTCATTTCTGCTCCAAAAGTTTAATAAAATCAAGTTTAGCTGTAAAGCTATATTATTTAAAAGCATGAACAATTTTATGCATGGAATCATTAAAGTCATAGTAAGGATTTTACAATTATGTGCAACATTTGGATAAAGCTGTGTTTTTTTTTTACTTAAAGTACTAATAATTTTATCATGTCTACGCGTGAGATTCATAAGGAATACTGAGCAATTTTGATGTAAATATACACAATGATAAACAACATTTTATATAACAATTGAAATTTTTTATGAATTGTAGAACTTTCTTACATCTGTCTCCCCAAACACCTGGAGTGTACACATTTATTCCCTAGCCTCAAGATTGTTACCTTAATGTGAAGCAAAGATACCCTTCAGTTAAACTCTTCCAAGGGCAATAATTTCAAAATAATTTTCACCTACTTTTGACCCATCTGGCTTGTATGTATGAATAATTGGAAAGATAACTCATTCTATTTATTTTGAGAAACCATTCTATTAATTCATTTTATCTTTTGTCTTTCTTAGCTCTACCTTGATGGGCCTTATGGTGCTGGCCAACAAGATTGGTACCAATATGATGTGAGTGTCCTGGTAGGTGCTGGTATTGGGGTGACACCCTATGCTTCAATCCTGAAAGACTTTGTACACATGGCCTCTATCAATATGAGATACAAAGTCAAATGTCAAAAGGTTAGTCAGAGGATACCTTAGGGGACATCTACTTACTTTAGAAATATTTTTAACAAAGTGTAATTAAGAAATAGCTTCTTTATTTATGTTATTCAGGTTTTAACTCTTTCTCTTCTAACTGACGATACCAACGTTGATTCCACCAGAATGTGGTAAATAATTACGGAGAGAAAGAGTTAAACCTTTGCATTAAAGTTTTCATTTTCCTAGGTTATGAATTACTTAGCTTATAGTTAAATGTAGCTCGTAACCTGGGTATATAAATCTGTGTTGTTTGTATTCTCAGTTATATTTTATCTGGATCACTGGCAGTCAGAGACACTTTGAGTGGTTGATTGATATCTTGAAAGAGGTGGAGGAAATAGATACTCAGTGTATGGTGTCCATCGATATCTTTATCACACAATTCTTTCAGAACTTTGACCTGAGGACCTCACTTTTGGTAAGATGACATACAATTAGTATCACCTTCACCTGTCCTCTAGTCTGTCTAACTCTTGGGGGGGGGGGGGGGGGGACACACTTGATCTGTTAGCTGTTTTTCACAATTTCTCTCTGTCTTTTTTACAGGATTAAGTTAAATAAACACTAGTTGTTGAAGTACATTTTTTATCTATTATATTGGGGAACTATTTACTTATATGCTAATTGTTATCATGGATTTCTGAGCTATATTATTTTAAATGTAGAAACTAATAAATGGCCACTGCAATGGAAGACTTGTGACATTTTAAAATAGTCTGATGTAGGGAGGCCATGTTGGAAAGAAATAAAAGGAAATATTTTTCCTTTTATTTATTTATTTTTTAATTTAGGATATATTTATATTACACCCAATTAGGTTTACCACAATACGTTAAAATGAAACCTATTAAAGAAGCACTAATAGACAATATTATTTTTAATAAAATAGTAGGCAAATCAAGTAGGCAAGCATCAGGGTACAAACCCACGACTGCTAAATTGTCAAAACCACTTGGCTGTGAAGCAGTGTCCAGGTTAACTTATTGTATGGCTATCCAGAATCCTAATAAGAATCTTTTTGATTGTTAATGTTCTTCAGCTAAAAACTATTTTTATTAACAAAATTTTTCTATTGTAGTCTTCAGAAAAACCTGGCCTGGTTGTTTTCTTCCATCACAGACAATAAACTTTTAAAATTTCTGTCCTCATTCTTTCCAGTACATTTTTGAGGAGCACTTTCAGAGAATGAATGGTGGTAAAAGTGTCTTCACTGGACTGAAAGCCACAACACATTTTGGACGTCCACAGATGAGTAAAATAATGAATGCAGTGCACAAGGCACATCCATTGGTAGGACTTTTTGTTTACTTCATACTGATGATAGGTTCTAAAACATCAAACATCATTCTAAAACATCAAACATCATGAACAAAAAATTAATCTATTGTTAGTGGCATCACTAATGTTAAATATATACAAACATTATAAAATGTGATGTTTGTCAAAAAGTTATCTCCCTTTAATCAATTTAAATGGAAATATAAAAAAATGAGAAAAGGAAAAAAGATAATTTAATGTAGGGCTCTAAAAATACTCCTACAATTCAAGTATATACATCGCCTCATTCAGCCGCGATCACAGAAATGAGATGAATGCCTGGGCATTACCTATCTTCAGAATGATATCATCCACGCATCAGTTCACCATTAGATAAATTGTGTAATATCATTTAGCCAAAAACTAATATACATATCACTAAAAAAAAAAATGTAATTAGTAATAGTGTATATTTTTTATTTTGTAATCATCAGTGACATGAATAATTTTTTGTTTGTTTCAGGTGAGAAAAGTTGGCGTGTTCAGCTGTGGTCCCCCAGGCCTGACAAAAGGAGTAGAGAGAGCCTGTGTAGAGACTAGCAAAGCAACCAAGGCCTTGTTTGAGCATCACTTTGAAAACTTCTAAATATCTAAAAGCCTAACACTGCCTGCACAAGCTGACATAGCCTTTTGGTGATCAACGAATTATCAACAGTATCCTCAGGCTATGCTATTTCCCTCTCGGATCAAAATATTCTATTAAAATTTGTAGCTCAACTTTTTGTACACACAATCTTATGTTTAGAGTTGTTTATAAAGTTATGTATCCAATATAAAAGAATTACAAATTTAGAATTTTAGAAATTAATTTTTTTACACTTGTAAATTTAATGATCAATTTTATTTCTAGCTATAAAGGATTTTTAATGTCCTTGTGTCATTGATCTAAACAGACCTAAATTTGCTATGATGATATACAGATTTCCATGTACATTTAGCTATAATCGAATTTTGTAAACTAGTATTGGTTTACTGTTGATATGTGAAAATTTGCATAGCATTCTCCTGATTTATATACTAGATCTTTATCTGCTGTAAAAAAATGTATACATTTTTGTATACTGCAATAGTTTTATCATTTTCCAGCACAGAAATTTTTACAAAAATTTAAAATGCAGATGAATTGTATAAAATTCTTTTATGCTCCTTCTTCCTTAGTGCCATTAGAGCATAAAATGGGTTGCCTGAATCAGTCAGGAAAACCAACGACTTAGAAGAGTTTAATTAAGTCTTTAAACTAACATGCATGACTAAGTTAACACATGGATAAGGGTAGGACATAATTATCTTCTCATTGGATATTTGAAGTATTTGAAATTTATAAGATAAGATGTTTTGAAAACTCCTCAATGTAACATTTTTTACTAATAATAAACTTTACAGATAATGTTATGATCAAGTTTCCATTAACTTTTTTGGTTGTTTTTCTATGACCAGAATTGGTAAATGTATGATAATGTATTATAATGATATTTGACACTCATCATTTGAATGAAGTTTGATGCCATGTTTTAATGTTCATGAAGCTTCTAATCCATTGATTATTCCATAATTTATTATTTCATGACGGTCTTCCACTTTATACATGGAAAAGATCTGTCAGTTTTGTGATCAGTTTTCACTTGTATAGTTAGGGTGTGGGTCTTGAAAGAAATTGTAGACAAATTTATATTTTTTAAATCTGTGGCTTTTTCACATCTTGTTTTTACATTATATTTTTTTCAACAGTTATGTCTGACATCATGCCATTATTTTGATTTTGTGTAAATTGTGATTTTAAGCTACTTTTAGCTATCCCTTAGTCTGTTGGACCGTTTGGGCACCAAGCAAGATTTGTCGACCGTCTTTCTCCACTCCTCTCTGTCTTTTGCCTTGTTTTGAGTGAAGTGCCACGTAACTGCTGAGATTGTAAGTTTGGTCTACTACACTGAAGCATTCTATTTCTGAAGTTAGTTTTGTGAGGCAATTATACAACAAAATCACATGACTAGAAGTTTTGAATGTCAGTCATTAAATGAGTTTGATTCCCCATTATCTAAGCACACAACTTTAGGCACAAATTAGGCTATATAATATGTTTTCTTTAACCCACTTTGAAAGACCCAAATTAAAGGTTCTGTGTCTGTTATTGTTTATCATCAACTCTAATTATTGCATTTCAAAACGTTAATTTTGATACCATTACACAGGCCTACTATGTTAGACATTCTATTTACTTAGAATTGGTTATGTGAAAAGAAGAATGTAGATATATTATATCTTAGACTGTTTTGGCCCTTAGATCATTCATTGTTGTGGGGTTGGGTAATCAGAGCATGACAAAACTGTTGGGGTAGATCTTAGAAAGTTGGCCTCAAGGAACTAATATATGCTAGAAGGTTATGGGGCTTTTGGAATGTAAATTATTATGTTAATGTAGATTCTAGTTTGCGGTGGGGAGAGGTGTTTAAACCTTTAAAAAAATCTTTTCTCACTATGTAACAAGAGGCTTAGTTTATGACTTGCCTGTCTATGTTTGACCTATGAACCTTATTTGGGGATATTTTTTAAATTTAGATATTTTGTTTGACAACATTGTAGGCAATCATAGGTTAAGCACATCTATTGTTTATATATATTATATATATTTTGTTATTATTGTTGTAATAATGAATGCATCTTTATTAATCACTTGATATATGTCCAGTCTTATCCATTATGAACACCATAATGAGTTATAAATTTCTAAATTTTCCTTTTTTTTAATCTTTTTTTTTTTTTTTTTGTATATATATATATATAAAATGTAGCCTTAGATTTTATTTTGATCTCAGTTCTAAAGACATTGTAATTGTTGATGTGATAAGTGAATTATAAATGAACTGTTGATACTTCAATCTGTACAAATTAACAAAATAAAAACATTTGAAAACACATTTTTAGTTCTGCTTTTCTTTAAAATTTATACCAATTTCTTGTATTTATTTTTTTTTTTTTTGATTATGTTTTGGTTTCTTTATGACATTCTCTCTATAATTTGGGAAATGAGAGATGAAGATTGATCATCATAAGGTAGAAAGACGTCACGCTTCTTGTCTAATCAAAATTGGCAATGTCTTCGATTTGTGAATTAAGGATAAGTACAGTGTTTCACATGACTACGCAAACCAATTTGCAATCTGCATAATTTTTCACTTCTGAAGCATACAAATATGTGCCATTGTAAGGGTCTATTTGAGTTTTCTTTTTTGTCTTAAGTCTTTAACAAAAGTTTCTTGGGTCTTAGATGTGTGCCCCATGATTTTTGTGAGAGCTCTCCAGCGCTCTCAGAGGACATCCGCTGACAGCTACTTTCCTCTATTCCAGTGAGGGAGGGGGAAATGTCGCCTGAGTTGATCTTTAAAAAAAAGATCGCCCTGGACATGCGGCCTTCCCCCTTGCGGAATACGTGTAAGACTAAGGCCATATGAAAAATTGATACAATGGCAAACAAACAAAATAAAAAAAATATTTTTACTAATAACAAAGCTTACATTAGGTGTATCAATTTGTTTGAATAATTTATGTAGGCCTAATTAAATTTTAATTGATCTAAACTAACAATAATAAATCTGTGTAGTTTAGAAATATTTTTACCAGTTTGTTTTTGTATAGCGCTATTTCATGCTTTTAGCTTTCTTAATACGCAGTGATCCTATCACTTGTTGGGAAAAGGAGGTAGAGAAAGAACGAGATACCTGAAGGATAGTTTTTTAAATGTATTTTAAAAAATACAAAATTGAACGACCTGAATTCGAACTCGTGGGCTATCTCAGGCTTCTCAAGCCAACACGGAAACCATTCTGCTAGCGAAGAGCGTATGAAAAGGTAAGAATGTATAGCTATCTATTGTTTCTTTTTCGTGTCTGTGTTCACTTAGCTTCAGGCAACGTCCCATAAAGGGAACTTATTCAAATTATACCACCACTTCCTTCAAGTAGAACTTCTTTCCCTTACCAAACAAAAAATAATTAATTACCAATAGTTAATTAACTAGTGGATTTTTAAAAATTGATTCTTGTGCTGTCAGGTAAAGAAATTTGCACAATTTAAGCTTGATCTGATATCGGGTGTACCAGACAGACAGAGTGAGTTGATATAAGCCTTAGCTACCTTATAATATTTCAGACAAATTATAATGGTCAAACCAGAGTTGACAATGTATGGCCTATTAGCTAATATTTTTTCCATGAAGTAATACTGTTGAATTTCTATGAAAATCGTTATAGTCATTTTGAAATCGGTGTATATTACATGTACATGCAAATTGTGCAAGCTAATAAGAGAAATAGTAATAATTAAAGATATCATAGAGGTTTATTATATGCCAACTCTAATGAAAACGGAGCGAAGCTTTATTTTATGAAATAATTGAACATTAACGATTGTGGTAAATATATAACAAAAATATATTCCTAGAAAACTGCGTTCACTGGTTTCTGCGTTCTTGTTTTAGTTTTTCAATGAAAACTTTATTGATATCATTGATTTTAAAAAATTCCGTATTCAAGGGAGGCTATTGCGAATCATTGTGGTAAGCCGTTTGGATTATCACTCCTACTGAAAGCGAAGATAGTCGTCTGAAAACTGTAATTGAAAGCTGGAGTTGTCCCCTTGCCGTATCCAATGCAAAGTGATCCCAAAGCATTAACGAAACACGACATTGATGTGATTAATTCTCTCTTCTCAGCATTCCCTGAATTCGTAAGCAGAAGTTACAGACAGGCCAGTGAAGTTTTCTGTTTTGTTTTTTTAACAGTTGTTCTAAAATTAGATTCGGTCATCATCGTAGAGTTATTTTAGCCGTCTTATAAACTTATCTTATTATTCCCACTAGAATCTTGTAACAATATCAAGGGTTTGATAATTATAGATTTAACCAAAAAAAAAGGTTCACCACCCCTCTTTTCAAACCATTCTTTCTTACGGCTAACGGTGCCATTTGGCCAGCACAACGGCCTTATTTTCTAAATTAATGTCAGTGTCGTGAATTTGCTTATTTGATTGTCACCCCTTAGTGTTTGTTTTACATTTGTTAGCCTGTGTACTGACCATATTTCGTGCTGTGATCTCTACTATGTGTGTAGTTGTTTGTCATTCAGTGAAATACAGCTTTGAATGTAACATGGTTTATTATTAAGAACTACAGTCAGGTACCAATAAAACTCGAAATTTAAAATCATAATTAAATCTCGATTTCTTTCAATATGTATGTCATCACACCATTTTTCAAAACATTTGCTTTTACGGTTAACGAGGGTGTCAGTTGGCCAGCACAACGACTTTACATTTCCTAAATTTACGCCAGGTACCAATAAAACTCGAAATTTAAAATCATATTTCAATCTCGATTCCTTTCAATCAGTGGAGTAGCTATGATTTGAGGGGGTTCGAAATGAGCGTTCGAAATTTGTTTTACCTGGGATATTAGTACGCCATTATCTCATATCTTGATGTCGAATGTCAAAATGCAGGGGCCCCTAAAGAGGTCATGCCCCCGAGCCTTCAAATCCCTAGCCTCACCACTGCTTTCAATAGGTATGTCCATCATTTTACAACTCGACCACCAGTGGTGATTAGAAATAAAATTAATAGCACTTTATAAAATTACAATCCACATGTCCGAAAAGATATTTTGTTTCATTCTGTTTTAACTTTGTTCGTTTGATTGTCGCTCTCCTTTTGTGTCAGTACACTGCACCATTTACCCAAACCAATGTTCAGGAAGGGTGAGAAATTAAGATGAAACATATTATGTATGTTTGGGTACTTTTGATGAAAAGTGTTAGGTTGGTTAAGAAAAAAAAAGGTGTCATTAAATGCTGAAGATATATCCCTGTTCGTGTAACTTTAAAAGTCATAAAAGTATGGAAGATCGCAATATTTCATTTTTGCTTCTATCAGCGGCACCACTGGGACTATGATAATTTAAGACTGTAGGCTCGTCAGTATGTTATTTTATGCTTCAAGTGAAACGGCTGCCTGGATGTGTGGTATTTGCTTTATCTATCGTTTAGAATTTAGATGGTCCAAGATGTGAACTTAGCCCGCCGCGATTCTCCACCGTCCTGTGGGATGTTATGGTTAGGATGTAATGTTTTTCTATTCTACCCAAAGATATAAGACGAGAATGTAACTGAAAGTGAAAGCCCTTCAGATTGTGCACAGTTTTAGAATTCACAAAGCCGCCCTCGCTTAATTTTTATTTAATGATTGTAAAATGTTTACGTTTTGATTGTTACTTCAGATTTGAAGATAATTGCATATTGCCATTTTGTCGTTAAATTATACACATTAAATTTTTTTTTTTATAAAACTTCAGCTCATTATAACAAAACAAATCTGTATAACAGTAAAAATTTCAAACAATACTTATCATTACAATATTTAAAGCCATACCGCGGTAATACAATCTTTGCAATCGCCCAAAACCTCAGCCCCAGGAAGGTACAAATACGTATTTGCATTGCAGTTATAGAACTTTATTTGAATATTGATATAGCGAAAACGACATTGACCTGAACTCTTATTGTCTCAAAAAATAAAATTTATGAAGGAGCTTTTATTCCATTTTATTCTGTTTTTATTTTGTGAGTGATAATGTAAGATTTATTTTTCTTATCTACCTAATCACGTCAGAGCTGTTAAATATTAACAACCATCTCACGAATTGCTGGATGGTTGCCTGGTCTAGGGTAAGCGCTGGACTGGCGTTCGGACTTCTCGTACTGGGTTCATACCCTGCCCGCTGCCATCTCCCGTCATCCTGTGTGAGGTTTGGACTAGGGAGTAAATTATCTTCAACTCTGAAGGAACATTTGAAACATGTCACTCCTCACTATATTGGCCCCTGATTCCCCTATCTTTGTTTAAAGCATTTTGTATTCTACTATGAAGTGTGGTGGCGCGGTGGCTGAATGGTTAAGCGCTTGGCTTCCGATCCAGGGGTCCTGTTCTCGAATCTAGGTGAAGACTGGGATTTTGAACGTAGGGATTTTTAGGGCGCCCCAGTGTCCACCCAAATCAAATGAGTACCCTGAGTCCACCCAAATCAAATGAGTACCCTGAGTCCACCCAAATCAAATGAGTACCCTGAGTCCACCCAAATCATATGAGTACCCTCAGTCCACCCAAATCAAATGAGTACCCTGAGTCCACCCAAATCAAATGAGTACCCTGAGTCCACCCAAATCATATGAGTACCCTGAGTCCACCCAAATCACATGAGTACCCTCAGTCCACCCAAATCATATGAGTACCCTGAGTCCACCCAAATCAAATGAGTACCCTGAGCCCAATCAAATCAATTGAGTACCCTGAGTCTACCCAAATCAAATGAGTACCTGACTTTAGTTAAGGAAAGTAAATGCGGTTGGTCGTGGAAAGTTCTTCTTTCAAACCTTGCCATCTATTGAGCAGATGATGTGAAGGTCATCTGTTTCTGTAACCCACGGTTAGCGAGGGTGCTATGTGGCCAGCACAAAGACCAACCGCCTTTACTTTTCCCAACTAATGTCAGGTACCCGTTAGAGCTAAGTAGACTCAGAGGCACTTAAAGATCCCCAAATAAAAGTCCGTGTCTTCACCAGGTTTCGAAGCCGCGACTCCCGGTTTGGAAGCCAAGCGCTTTATCGCTAAGCCATCACGGTTTCTTCATTATTATAGAGTTATACATAATATTAATTTGTACCAATAAACATAACAATAAGCTATTATAAAATAAAGATTACATAGAGAGTTTGTGTTATCACACAAACTCAGAGGCTGCCCCACCAAATTCGTCCAAGGAAAAAGAATATTCTTATTATTTGGTTTCTTAAGTAATACAATTTCAAAGAATCATTTAGCGTTAACTTCTGAGCAACATCTAGGAAGAAATATTTGGTGATGTTTCTTTT